GGATACATGTCTTATTTCGACATTAGCTGCGCTACCATTCCAAAATGATTTATATTTTAATTGGAAAAATATTTTTCTTCAAAATGCGTCTATGATGTTATAATTAATACTGATGTACGAACTCTAAGGTAATAATTTTTTTCTTTCTTTTGGTGATAATGTCTTCTAATTATAAACTAGAAAGCTCATTATTTCATAATCAAGCAGAATAATAATATATTATCAACGAGCCAGAAAAAAAGTGTCTATGGAAACTCTAATAATAATAATTACCATTTTAGAAACATTGTGAACATGTCTTATTAACGAGATAAACTATAGAGAGATACTTATTTGTTTGCGAAAAAAAATGAATTCGTCTATCATCAATATCGAATCATGGTTTACTCCAATTGATATTCTAATCATTACATTTACTACTATAACCATTGGACTTCCCATACTCTTTTTATATCTTATTTTACTTGATAAAGCATGTCATACAATACCTATGATGTTAGTTGCTAATTCATGTTTAACTGCATTTGTATTTGCATGTACAATGTTTAGTTCATTCATAATTATGCTTAGAAATGATCTTGAGCGAATTTATTATCCGGATTCATATTGTATATTTCGAGCTTATATTAGTTATGGTACATGTGCTGTATTTAATTATTCTTTTGTATTACAAGCTCTTTATCAATATATTCGTGTTATTTATCCACTTGTTTTATTTTGGCAAAAACGACACATTCAAATATTATTTGTTCTTAAAACATGGATTTTAGGTTTTCTATGTCCTATTATATTTTTATTTACTAATGAAATTGTCTACAATCATGATAATCAAGTGTGTCAATTACCTCTTCGATTTTCATTTTCAGTTATTTATATATCATCGTCTGTTTATGGAATTCCTGTTACAATGATTATATTTATTTATTATAAATTACTTCAATATGTACGAGAAATGAGTAAAAATGTAACATCTATTAATGTTTTAGCTCGTGCTCGACGAGAATTAAAAATGATTCGTAATATAGTCATATTAGTAACAATTCTAATTGGTGTTGGTTTTGTTTATGCAATATTTATAATTATGTCATTTTTTAATAGTTTACCAAAATATCATTTTCGTATTGCGTATGTCTTTGGTAGTTCGTCATTTCTTTTAGTCATAATTACTTTATTTCAATTTACTGATCCACTTAAAATATCATTAAGAAAACTAATCAATAGACGACCAAATAAAATTGCACCAATTATAATATTGACAAAGAAAAAAATTAACATTTAGTTTATATGAATTTCTATTATAGAACACATAAAAAATGTAAAAAACAATGAAAAGGAAGTCAATCTAAAAAAGCTGTTAGCGTAATCCTTTGCGTACTAAAATTGTGCAACACAATGTAACAGTTATAACAATTAATAAACAGATAGAGTGTGGGTGGTTATGAGTGTATTAAATAAAATAATGATTCATATATATAATTATGAAATATTTTAAATAATTAACTTTTTGATACAAATAAATTAAATATTAGACTATTCAAATAAAACGATATTAGCGCATAAAAACTAGTCTTAAAGGGTGAAGGTGTGGATGTTAGGTGAATACAGTATTTATACCTACAACCACACTCAATGTTGAAATTAATCATGACACTGAACGAATTGATAGCAAATTTCTAAACAAAGCATCGAATATATTTTAATGAATTGAAACAGCATTTGGTAACTGAGAAGAAATTAGTATAAAATATCAATGGACACAATATGAAACAGATTTCGCTACTTGATTTACTGTAATTTAGGATAGGAGTGTACGTATGAGGAAGAAATTAATTCGTTCCAAGTATGATACTCTTTTTACATCTACTATAATTTCCTGTTCAACTAATATTATTAGACAGATGGTGACCCTTTCATGTGTTCTATTCATAATATTCTTCATTTTTTATTGTTGATATTCAATATATATCGACCATTACATACCTTTTTTTATGTAATTTAGTTTGAACATATTGTTTCGTCTACCTTATTTCAATAAATTTAATAATTTGTCGTTTTTTTTATTATCAATTACATCTTCCTACAAAATAAACTTATTTTTTTATGATAGTATATACTTGACGGGTGTTATCAGTATTGCTTACTGTTCTTCCTACATTCATATAGTACATGCGTAGTGTGATAGAGAGTGTGCTTTATTCTTACTAAAACGACGTTTTTTGGTATATCACAATATCAAATTTGATAGCACATCGGTGAAGGTTGTATTGAGGAGAACAGAAGAAAAGAACGACGGTAGTGTGCATACGCACATGGTACTTTAATCGATAGTACCGCATTGATATTATTCGTAATATTAGAAATCAAATATGGTGACGAAGAAAGAACTACAACAATACGTCGTTGAATTGCTATCCGAATGTTTTGGAACATTTATTTTAATACTTCTCAACGAAGGTGCCATTGCGAATTACAAATTTGCCCAGTTTACTTCGCATTCTACACTTCCAATTTATCTTGCAATTGGTGTCGGTGTTTATACAGGTACTTTTTATCATAGCTATTTGAACAGATCAGACGTAGTTACAAAAGTAGAAGCAACATTCAGAGTAAGACGTTTTAAGAGATGATATAATAAAACATCTATTGGTTAAAAATCTATCGATAATTATGGATATGTATTGATATTTTTACTGTTTCATGCCGTTTGTTTGAAAAGCTCGATAAGAGATGCTAAGTTCCAACCAATCCAGTGTCGTATTCTAATGTTTTTGATCTTAATAAAAATCTTTTGTACCCACGAGCAAACTGTTTAAAATGAGAACTATAGAACATCGTTCATAAACAATTCACAGTTTGCGCTTCCTACTATTCTATTCTCTTTACGTATGCACTATATTGATACTCTTCTTTCAAGATTTCGATAAAAGTTAAAGCTACTTCTATTTAACCTACCAATCATTTTTCATATGATATTCAATATTCTGTCAAAATTGTTATTCTTACTATAATGAATAATCTATCACAATTCTCACAAAAACCAAGTAGATCTTTTTTATATTTAAATATATTACGATAATTAAAAGAAACGAAAATTGTCGTCTTTATATTTTTGAACATGTACAAGTGTATTTATTAATCTATTTTCTATATTCTAGCATTGATGGCTGTTGGATCTATCACAGGTACAGTAAAAACTGAAGCATTGTATTCATCAACATCGATCATTTTCAGTAGAACCGTAGCAGTTCTATATCGATTCTTAGAAATCAAACAAGAGAACTTACCGTTAAATATTTGAAGATTATCTTAATTTTGATTCTAGGTGCACACATCAATCCTGCTGTAAGCATATCACTAATGACTGTTCGCAAACTCAAACCATTGCAGTGTGTTTTCTATGTTATCGGTCAAATAGCTGGTGCATTTTTAGGTGCTGCTTTAGTTTATCTTGTTTACTGGAGCCAATTCAATGAATTTGATGGTGGTACACGTCAAATAACAGGTCTTTATGGCACAGGTGATATTTTTTTTACAATGCCTGGCAAAAATGTACCACATTGGAATGCGTTTATAGATCAAATTGTTAGTACTGGTCTTCTGTTGATCTTCATAGTGGCAGTTGAACAGGTAATACAGAAAATTTAAACAGATAATCAATTGACTAATAATTCTTTGTAGGACTTCAATCGTATGCTTTCAGAAGTAAATAAACCTTTTGCACTTGCTTTGATCGTTATGGGTATTAATTGTGCATTTTCAATCAATGCAGCAGCTGCACTTAATCCTGTATGTTGATTGTACAAGTTGATCCTCAATTTATTTAATTCTTTCTTTTTCTTCTAAACTTTAGGCTCGTGATTTAGGTCCACGACTTTTCAGTGCATTTGTTTACGGTTGGAATGATGTATTTTGTGCGCATAATTATTATTTTTGGATACCAATTGTTGGTCCCATTCTCGGAGGTATTATTGGAGTGTGGATCTATCAATGTTATGCTTCGATCATTAAGAACTATTGGCAGTTTTCCAATACTAAACGTAACAAGTCTGTTAAAATCGGTCACGGAGTGATACGAACAGAAGATGATCTATCAGAGCTTCGACAACAACAACAGACTAAATTTCTTGATGATGATGATTGATGATACAGTTATTTTCAGTGCGTTTAATTTATATTCATACGCTTTCGATAATGTCAGTGGAATTTTTTCCAAACTCAATCGTTCAAATTTTTTTCAATACTAAAAATAAAAATATTATTTCGAATTCAGGAAATTTTAGTACCAAAAAAGGAAAAGAAATCTTACGTATTGTAAAAAGTATCAAGAAACAGTATGATACGACGCCAATGCAATTTACTCATATACAAACTAGTTTTGCTTTTCTTTTTTTTGTGTCTTATTTTCTATAGATCTTTTGAATGTTAAGAAACATAAATATGTGGAAAATATTATGATTGTGTGATCTATCAAACATCTTTAATACTGATGATTATATCGATTTTCGATGGCTGATACATCATATTGTTTTTGGTAGAATATGAATGAAGATGAGGATGTTTCTCCTTTATGCCATTCCACTCACACTCAACTATTTTTGAATTATACAATATTCAATCTAAATACAATATTACTACTTTGAATAATCATTTGCTGATCAATTATTAATAATTGAAATAAATACACATAGCCATCATATAGATTTCAAACATTTTTTACATTTTTCGTAAACTATGCCATTGGGAATGATTCAGGAAGCGTTCAGTAATACATTTAATATTGCTCAAACATAATAGATATCATATATAAATTCAGTTTCTATTTAAAAATCTAAGTAAGAATCCTTTTGCTATATGATAATGATATTTCTTTCACTCAAATATATTATGATTATATTTTATTTAGTTTTAAAAGTTTGTTTTGCTGCATGAAAAATTATTAAGCGTTAAAATAAATGCGAAAATATGGTGAATAAAGCAGGTATTGAAGTTAAAATAATTGTTCAGTATAAGAATATAAAGGCGCTAATAAATAAAAGAATAAGACCAGTATCAAGACTCATTCGAACACCTGTTGAAACCGTACTATAGGTTGTCACAAATGATGAACTCGATGAAGACACTGTTGTTGTTGTTGTTGTTGTTGTTGTTGTAGTAGTCTTTGTTGTGGTGGTTGTTGTTGTGGTGGTTGTTGTGGTGGTTGTTGTTGTTGTTGATGTTGTAGTAGTAGTTGTTGTAGTTTTTGTTGAAGTAGTAGTAGTAGTAGTTGTTGTTGTAGTTGTTGTAGTAGTAGTAGTCTTTGTTGTAGTAGTAGTAGTTGTTGTTGATGATGTTGTAGTAGTTGTTATTGATGTTGTAGTAGTAGTAGTAGTTGTTGTTGTTGTTGTTGTTGTGTTTGTTGAAGTTGTAGCCGAATTGCTCAAGAATGAGATCGCATAAGATGACATATTATAGGATGATACTCCATTAGTAGTACAATTGGGTGCGAATGATGGATAATTTCCTGGTCCAAAACATCCAACAAGATATGGATATGTTGATGTTGCAAAATAAGCATAATTACCAATAGAATCATAAAACATTCCATTACAAACATCAAAACCTGTTATTACTCGAGTACCTGAAGATAAATAAGGACCATAAATAACATGTCCATCCTTGGCAACACCAAGTACTGTTTTTGTTTGATAATTTGAAAATGACGATATAGAATAGGTAGCAACATTTGAAATACAAGAACTAGTACCAGCACATGATGAAATATTTCCTGTTGGAGGATTAACTTGACAACCGCTTGCAATATGATAATGATATATACCGGTTATTTGACAATGAGCAAGACAGGTATCTACTGATTCAGAGGTTTGACCACCTCCTGGTGGAAAAAATGGATCGATATTATTCGCTGAATCAGGAGTAAAAATCATAACACCGTCTACTGATACTCCTGTTGCAGTGTCTAGAGGTGTTTTCCCATAATTAACAAAGCCGGAAGCCGATGGAACTGTTGCTGCACTAGTCAGTGTACAGAGTGTTTGTGAAAGTAAAGCCACAGTGCTCAAATTTGAATTTAACGAATTAATGCTGACATCAGGATTAAAATTTACTTCAAAATCAACATTTAATTCGACAAAACTGCCCGAAGGTACATTAGCACAACGTGGAGGTAAACCATTTGTTTGAATACGAATTTTAATAACACCACTGGCATTTCGACAAACAGCACTTAATTTCCGTTGCCACACACAAACACCATTAATAGTTTGACCAGGACATACAATACCGCTGGCTAAACAGGTAGTATTAATTCCAGTAGTTCCTGTAATATTGCTGGCTGTATAATTAATTGTTGTTAGAAATGATGAAGCCGCCGCTTGACAATCGGATAATGAATTAGATGCTGTTGATTGAACATCCGGTAAGTTAATCATATATAGAAATACGTAAAAAGCGCAGCACAATTGTCGGGAGGCCATTGTTAGTATAATGTTCTAGCTTCTGTTGTAGATTACTAAATATATGATATGCGTATATAAATATGAATTTATGAATAAATATTACGGAGTATGAGTCTTCTGAAATAGTTATATTCCCTTTCTTTCCGACTATAAAGGAGACGATGCAATTTTCTTTTTTCTCTTTATATACATCTTAATACTCACAGTGATGTTGAAATGATTGAAACAAAAAAAAAATATTTTAGTTGAAGAAAATGACCGAATGGTTTGACGACGTTTCTTCCACAAAACAACGATGCCATAGAAACAAACATTTTTTTATTAATTTTTTTTTTTCGTTTAATATATATAAGAATGTATTGTGCAAGTCAACAGTCTACACTGCTCATAACTTTCCTATATTAAAGAACAGCAAATACATTACAATTAGAGAATAAGTAAAATGTCCATTTTCTCTTTTTCAAAGGAAAAAAAAATATTTTTTCTTAGTCAAAAATGTCTATTTCTTTACTTTCTACAAACTATTATTTATTCTTTATTTTAGACGTTTTTATAATATAATAATATATAGTGTCAAGAAAAACTCGATTCCATCTCCAACACAGAAAATATTTTTTGTTTTTGTTACACAAACATTATGAAAACAATCGTTTTAATTGTTTTTTCATCATATCTTCAACATCGGTGAATGCTGGCATGCCAACGCCGTGTGAATAGATACTTGAAAGATAAAATTTGAATATTTCAAAGTTTCTGTTTTCTTAAAACATAAATAAAATATCCAATATGAAACGCTCTATCCTCAATCGTTAATAAATATTCTTGAAAGAATGATACAAGAATTTGCTGAGTTTCTCAATCAAGTGAATTTCAAATACAATGGCTGGATACTTTTTCTCTGTTTATATTTTTTATAGTTATAGATCAGAGAGAATAAAAAAACATATTTATATGATTATAACTGTATTACAAAAGAAAATGAATGATAAAAAAAATTAATAGTAAGATATTTTATTCGCAAACGGTTAAATCAACGTCTCTTTTTTAACTGCACATTTATCGAAAACAATTGCTTGTACCCTTCCCCTCCTGAGTAACTTGTCGACAACGTCTGATCCTCCTTTCTTTCAAACAGAACAGAACAAGAAAAAAAACTCGATATTACAAAGACATTTCGAACATGCAGGTATAGATGCGACATGTGGATATTTGATAATTACTGCATTCTTTTTTTTCATTCTCTAATGGTTATATACACAACTGTATTCAATATTATTTTTATCTGGTTTTATCATATATATATATACATAAGGTTGCTTTTTCTTTTCTAACGTATTAATCATGGGCAATCGAATAGTCACTAAATTTGGCAAATCTAAATCGCTGACTGATGAAGGTTTGTCTATCTATTGAATTATTTTACTGATTGATTGGTCATATTTTTAGAAATCGTTGAAATACAAAAGATTTCAAAACTTAGTGCAGATGGTAAGTAGAAAAAAGAATTCATTTTATGTTTATATAGAATTATTTATTCTAATATAGAAATCAGAGAAGAACACAAAGTAAAAAGAAATTTTATTTATGATAAACTACGATCATCTATTCTTGTTTGGATTTACATTAGGGATTTTTAAAATTACAGCCAACAGGTAAAATGACCAAGGAACAATTCATCCATATGTATAAGTTGCTTGATTTTGATTGCGATATGACTGATGAAGTAGCTTGCGAGTATGTTCATATATCCATTCAATCATTTCAAATGGTTTAACATTTTCTTTCAACATATTCAGTAAAGCATTTGCTACATTTGATAAAAATAAAAATGGAACAATCGAATTTGACGAATTTCTTTTGGCAATGCACTTCCTACGACCAAATACCATCGAATCAAACGTTGATATTCTCTTTCGAGGGTTATTTCGATTGAATATTGTAATTTACTGATGATAAACTACTTATTTCTTTTTTTGTTCATTAGGTTTGATTTTTCTGGCGATGGATATTTAGATCATGAGGAAATAACTGCAATTTTCGATGGTGCCGTAAGTTAATCTTAATTTCTCCTTAAAATAAAGTATAATTGATTATTTTAGGTAGCTTTGGGCGTTGTAAAAGATGCTGACCATGATTATGCAAAGAAAACAGCTTCAGAAGTATTTGCAATTTTAGGTCTCAGTGATGACTCAAAAATAAACAAGGAACAACTTATCAAAGGGTATATAAAAGCATTTTTTTTCTTCTCTATTTGGTTTTATTTTGTTTTAGATGCAGAGAACATCCTACTTTGCTCAAAAAGCTCTACTTATAGAAATAAACAGTACTGTCAACGAATACTTATTTTCATAAATTAACAATTATTTCATTACTTCTCTTGTTTTTTTCTTCATGTTAACTCGCATAGTTGAATTAAAGACACAATAAATTAAATTTTCAAGATGATCGATAATTTCTTGTGTATTACAAATCTACAAGAGTTGATTTACTAATTGGACTACAATCTACAAATGCTGTAGAGAAATATTCATATCTTAAGGGTGCGAGTCGATGAAGATAAACAAAGAGTATTCATACCCACCCCACACCCTTAATAAATTGTATCGTTTAAAGGCATTTTCTTTGAAATTCTTGTCTACTCCAATATTTATACTCATATAAGGACTAAACAAAAGATTAACACGCTCAGAGACAAGTAAACTTATAACTGAAACTACAGCGGATGTGAGTTTATCTTTTCTGAAATCACATCTACGTCTATATCAGTGTTGCCAACTCTTCCGGTTTTTCCAGAAAAATTCCGGATTTTTTCCGGATTTTAGATTATTTTATTGAACTAAATTGTATATATCTGTTAATACTCGAAAACAAAAATTTTTATTTGACAACGGCTCAGTGGCTTATACTTCTTATATATTTAGTTTATTATATTCTGAATTTTGATGTTAATTTTCTTTTGATATATTGAAACATGTGTTTTTTTGAAATACTAAGCGGTATAATTGAGAACAAGATTTAGAGAAACTGATTTTAGCCGATAGAAATTAACTGTTAAAAACCTTTCCGGATTTTCACATTAGAATTCCGGTTTTCTGACTATGACAGTTGGCATCACTGGTCTATATACACCGAATACATTTTCAATTATCTCAAGTCAAAAAACTCTTTTGTAGCTTTAGTTTATTAACAGGAAAAGAAGAAAGAACTAAACATTTTTAATCGATTATTGATTTCATTAACCAATGAAAATTAGGAATAATGAGAGGAATCGATTTATGATAATGTTTACTATCTTTGTAAATATTAATATTCACAGATAGCAACGACCATTTCAAGCTATGAATACTCAACATATGCTAACAGATTTGTATCGATCAGTGGTATCAGTACTAATGAACCAGTAATGATTTGATATTTCATCAAAAAAAATATTGTATAGAAGAAATTTTATCTGATGAAATCAAATAATACTAAGTACATATAGACACGATAGTTCTACAATCTTCATTTTAATATAGCGCGTTAATAATATTTTTGTAAATATAATTAATTTACAACTACAAAAAAACTGCCCTATTTTTTTCTAAATAACAATGACTATTCCAAGGTTCATCATCAACTTTCTTTTAAGAATTACGTGATGTTCGTTGAATTTTTTTTGAACACTTCTCAATTACAGACATTTGATTCTCAATCACATTCTTTTTTAATAAATATATTTCTCCGGATATATTCACCTATTCAATATAAAACAAAAATAATTAAAGTCGATCAGAAAATAATTTATAATGTTTCGAAGTCGTTCTTCTACAATTGTTCCTATAATAAGAACTAGTTGTAATACAATAAAAACAAACATCGAATCAAATCATCGTATCTGTTTTAAATTAATTCTAGCTGCTTTAATTCCATTGATGATCGGTAGTTTTACAATAGTTACAACAGTTATTCAACATAAAATATCTGTTCAACAACGTCAACAAGATAAACAAGAATCAAATTTATTTCGAGAACAATCCGAACGTCATGCAGATAATTTACAAAAAGAAACAATAATTGTTAAATATCTTGATGATATATCAAATTTATTAATGTTAGACAATCAATCAAAAATTTTTGCACAAATTCGTATAAAAACATTAACTACTCTTCGACAACTGGATGCCGAACGAAAAAAATCTATACTTTTATTTCTTTGTGAAAGTGAATTAATATGTCAAAATCCGCAATATTTAAATTCATCTTTAGTAAAATTAAATGATGCTGATTTTAATGGTATTCAATTAGATGGAACTGATGATAATAAATGTTCATTTACACGACTAAAATTATATGATGCTTATTTATCAAATTCTTCATTTATTGATTGTTATATTGATTATTCGAACTTTTCACATACAACAATGAATAAAGTTGTATTTTTTAAACGTGTACTAATACGAACATCATTTAAATTTGCTTCATTAAACGAAGCTAAATTCTGTAATATGAAACTTTCTTCAATTAACTTCATTGGAGCATCATTGATTCGCAGTGATTTTACTGGAACTGTTTGGGATAATACAACTGTAGATTTTACAAATGCAAATCTTACAGACGCAACACTATCAGATAAACAACTTAAAAACTCAACTTTAGATAATTGTATTTTACCAAATGGAACATGGGGACCAATTCAAACGAAAAATTTAGTAGCTAATGGTGATATCACACAATTCGTAAGTATAATATATTTAGTTTTTGTCATTAAATAAAGTATTTTTATTGAGGGGGAAACAACAGAGACTTCACACCTGAAGTCCAAATGAGTCTCATGAAGTCTTCTAGAATTTCTATGGATGCACCCAAGCAGACAAGAATTTTGGAGAAATGCGATTGTATCTCATTCACGCTCGAAAAAAACGCCGTTTTATCGGTTTTTGGCGTTTTTTCCGTATAATTTCTAGTTTTTGAACGTCAAAGCGACAAAAAAATTCAGTTTTTTTAGCGTTAAAATGCACTGGTTTCAGATTGCAGAAAACTACAGAAGTAAAAGCACGTTTTTAGCTCAAAAATTGGATTTTTTTTGTCGCTTTCACGTTCAAAAACTAGAAATTATATGAAAAAAAATACCAAAAACCGATAAAACGGCGTTTATTTTTCGAGCGTGAATGAGGTACAATCGCGGTTCTCGATTGAGCGTTTAAACGCGTTTCTCCAAATTCTTGTCTTCTTGGGGCATGTATTCCACGAGGAGACAGAGGATAAGCAAAATAATCTTCATGCATGAAGTCCTGGAAGTCTTTAGAAATCCTAGAAGTTTATTGAAGTCTCTTGTAGTCTTTTGAAGTCTTTCGAATTCTTTGACGTCTTGAAGTCTGCTGTTTCCCCGTAGATTTATTATTCCAACTATACTGGTAATCACTGAGAGTTCTATAACTCTCTTGCTCGAGTGAAAAAGTTTGAGATTTAATAATACCTAAAATAAACTACTGACGTTGAAGCATGAGCCAAAATTTCCGAGAAATATATTTAGTATACTACAAATCATTTAGTTACAATACTTCAATAGGACATAAACATTCTATCGCATTAGTTGAAAGTGATACATAAGTAGAAACTTCATTTAATAACGCCATCATTTGAATACTCAGTTTTTAATTAATACTACTAATAAAAAAATGATTTACTCTATAGCTGTTACACTTTTTTACTGACTTTGTAATACAATTTTAGTGTGGTTCAGACGATGGTCGTAATTTAAGCGATTGGAAAATTCCTAATGGTGGAGAAATCAACGTGTTTCCGAACAATGATCAATATATACCTAAAGATCTGTATAAATGTTATTTTCGAGTAGTTAAACTTAACAATATTAGCAAAGCCGAATTTATAACACAAACAATTAATCTTGAGCATTATTCTCGTTTGATTACTTCAAATATGGCTCGTTATAAATCATCAATAACTATTCAATGTTTTGGTAAAGAATTCATTACTTTTACATTACGTTTTATTGATTCAAATGGTTTACGATATACAGCTGTGGACAAAGGTAATTTATAAAGAAAAATATTGTTTTTTGATTTAGAATTGTTCTCTATTATATTTTAAAGAACCTGATAAAGGAACATATGTGCAAACATTAGAACTTTCTGATATTATTCGTACTGATGTATCTGCTGTTCAAATCTTAGTAACATTTATAAACAGTAAAGTTAATATGAATACATCATTCGAAGGAAATGATTGTAGATGTTATAATGTTCATTTTTCAATCATCAAAGTATAACAATTGAATATGATTTTATTATAAAGTATTTTATATTTTAAAGATGTTTTTATTCTTAAATAAAAATATATAAGAATTATTAAATCTGCATTATGAAAAAAAAAGATTTAATTGTTGCTATTTTTAGTTTATCATATAAAAGAAATTAATGTTAACTGTCAAATATAAACCGTTCGACGTCGTGTAGAACTCTAAACGATTTAAAAAAGATCAAAGTTTATAAACTTCTTAATTCAAAATAAGTGTTGTGCGAGTTCACAGTTCTGATTATATACTTTTACATATCGAAGATATATTGATCACGCAAAAAAACTGAGATTAAAAGTCGTATTTTATAATATCGACTTGACATTCTTTTCATATGTTTTGAATCAAGTTATTGAGAACATAAAAAAATCTAATGATTATTGTTATTTTTATCTTTTATGACATTCATATAAGGTAATTAACCCTTCTAGGACCGATTTAATTTTACACAAAGAACTTCAGGACACACATATGCATCAATAGTTCTGAGACAGTTAGGTAAATTTGAGACATAAAATTGCTTATGTCATAAAAAAAGACATCAATTGAAATCGTCTTATGCTTTTTTGTGTAATGATGTGTCTGAGACGTAATAGACTTTGTCAACAACAATTTTATGAGACATTAGAAAAGCTTCTTTTTTTCTCATAGGGATCAAAACTTTTATTCTAAAATTATTATAGAGAAAATATGCATTTAATCATATTCCTCTCAACAAAATATGATAAACTTCATACGTCATTAAGTATAAATAAAATCTAGGAAAGCAATTTCCTTATGTCATTGTCTTTGTTTCAAGTAAGACGGATGTAAATAGTGTTGTATGAAAATCATTCATAAGAATGTTCAAAGTCCTATGTTTTTTTCACAATATAATCCAATGGTCTTTAATATTACTTTATATGTGCAAGTTAATTTGTTTATTCATTATGAAATCATTCAGATAATGAAGAATTTTTTTAATATTTATTTCTATGAAGAAAAGCTTTACCTTTCATATTCAAAGAAAATCTTATGATCTTTTTATTAAAAAAAAGAGAAATTGTTATATTATTTTCTTTTCCTTGTTTTATCTTTACATTAATTGAAATATATTGTTAGAAAAGTAACGGAAATCTAAGGTGGTTCATTATTATTCCATCCGTTTTATGGAAAGAAAAAGTAATATCGCGAGATTGTTTTATAACATTCATTTCTATTAAACTATATTCATTCTTAATGAAGACTATACAAATAATATTAATTATATAGATACATAAAGTACTTAAATTGAATTTTTTTTCCTCTCAATATAAAATGACAAGTAAATGAAGACATTATCATCATATCATTCAAAACTGTTAGACAGCATTCTCAACATACAATAATATTATTCATACTTCTATGACTCTCACTTTAATACAAGCTCATGGTTTGGTTATGATCCTTGCATGGATGGTATTCGGTTCAACCGGTATTTTATTTGCACGTTATGGACGTTCATTAAAATTAGGAGCTCGACGACAATTACTTGGCAAAGCTGTTTGGTTTCAAATACATAGATTTCTTCTTACACTAACATCATTATTAACACTTCTTGGCTTTCTTTTAATATTAGTTCGTGCTAGTGGTCAATGGGTTAATCCTCAAACGTCTGACATCCGTTTATTTATTCATTCAATATGTGGTGGTATAATTGTATGTTGTGTTATGACACAAATATGGTTGGCATTATATCGTTGTCATCCACAAAGTCATTTTCGTTTTATGTTTGATTGGAGTCATCGTATTACAGGTCTATTAGCTTTTACTTTGGTTATTCCAACTATATTTTTAGTAGCTCTCTTTATGTCAAGATCTCGTCCAGGATTTGTTCCTATTTTTGCATGTTGGACTGGTTGGATTGTAATTCTTGTAATCATATTTGAAAGAATTCAATATCAACAACGAGTAGCTATATTACCAGTAGGTAATAATGTTCGAATCGATGATAGAAATCAAGAGAATATTAATATAAATGTACGAATAGATACAGAAGCAAGTACAAATGCAAATGTTGGTAATCGACGTCATAATCAAATAAAAATACTTTTACTTTTTATTCATATCATTGTTACTACAGTTCTTTCTATTGTATTAATTGTATTTATTTCAAATTAATATAAACATTCTTTAAATAACAAAATTTCATAGATGATTTCGTAGTTTTTCAAGTCAGACGAAAACAGAAAATTTTTTAATATTAGTTACGAATACTATCTTCTAATGAAAAAACATATTTTGTGAATATAATAAGGTAAAGTCTGATTGCCAATAAATATACTCATTCTTTATTTTCTAAAAGTGGTGTAATAAGTCAAATACGATGTATCTAATATTCTTAATCATTGGTAACATTTTTAGTGTGAGCACTTTTTTGACAAAATTAGTTTCCACAAGATGAGGTGTAAGATATATTTATTTGGAGAAAAAAAGACAACAATTATTATTCAACAGAAACAATTCATTTTGTCTGTTGATTAGCAATATGACGTGGTAGTGAAAATAATTGTGGTCCTACCATTCGTGTTTTTCGTTTACAGCATGGAAATATTTTTCTCAGTTTTATTTTCAGCTCAGGCATTGATCCAGCACATACAAAAGGTAAGAATATATTACTGTAATATGCAAAAAACTCTGCATATGCCATAAATACAGATCCAACATCTTCCGAAACACCAAGAATATAAACAAACTCCATTAATATATGTGGAGTATGTAAAATGAGATATAAAAATGAAATTGATAATAGTTGAATTGTCATTTTTCTATAATTTTTCCATCGAATTCTTTGATGCATTTGCCTCTTTTGATAAACAATACGCAATAAAAGTCCAAGACTGCAAGATATTATAATTATAACTGGAGTTATATGATCAACCATAACATC